GCAGGGAAAACATACAAATCGACCTCTCGCCTTTTCAGAGAATATTGTAAATAGTATCATTGATCATATCAAATCTTTTAAAGGACGCCAAAGTCATTATGCTTTGCATGAAACTAGAAAGTTGTATTTGCCAGAGGATCTTAATTTATCGAAAATGTATAATATGTACAAAGAGCGTTTCCCACAAAATAAAGTTTGTCGTGAAAGCTACAGGTACTTTGATAACATTTATTTGCTTATTTATGAGTTTTATTTCATATTATCGAATTGTCTACTTTTCTTATCAGGAAAATATTTGCAGAAAAATTTCACATCAGCTTTGGTTATCCTCGTAAAGATACTTGCTCAACATGCGACAAGCTCAATATTATACTTGAAAATCAAGACACTGCTGCAGATCATCAGATCATCAAAGCTAGTCACGAAAAAAAACTTCATTTGCGAAAAGCAGAAATGTTTTATACCAGAAAGAGAGAAGCACGTAGTAATTTAAAAACTGGTCATGTAGCTCTTGCTTTTGACTTTGCGAAGAATATGAGTTGTCCTAATGTTTCTACAAATGATGTTTATTATCGTAGACAGCTCTCTATGTACACATTTAATATACACTGCTTAGGGTCAAATAGTGTTCACTTGTTTTGTTACGATGAAACTTATGGGCAAAAAGGAGCGGACAATGTAGCGAGTATGCTGGATACTATTTTGAAGACATTATACCAAAAGATGTATCTCATTTGCAGCTTTTTTGTGATTCCTGTGCTGGGCAAAATAAGAACTGGACTGTTATTCGTTTTTTGCACTTCAATGTTGTGAATAAAAAACGGTTTCACGAAATAAAGATATCTTTCCCAATAAGAGGCCACAGCTACATGGAGTGTGACCGAGATATGGTGTTAGTTAATCAGAAGGTTTGAGCAGAGCTACCAGTAAATTGGATGGAAGAATATCATACCTGTCGTGAGAAACCTTCGCCATTTAAAATTATCAAGATGGAACTGAAAATGTTCTTTAATTTTTCTGATCATATGAAACAATTTTACAAAGTTAAATGTCCAATACCAACACGTCCTATACGTGAAATAATTTTCTCTCAAGATTTTCCTACTGTGTTACAATACAGATTTAATTGGAATGGACCTTTTGAAAGAGTTGTCATAACAAAAGCTATATATAACATTCACATTTCAAAATTTTATGCCAATATATCAAGTAATAGATCGTACTAATTTAAAAACTATACAAATATATATGGAGCTGGTCATAGCATGTAATATAAGTCTTCAAACCTTATTTTTCCGTTTTCTCAAAATGAAAAAAACGTGACATCACTGGTTTTCCCCTTGCACCCTTCATATATATATATATATATATATATATATATATATATATATATATATATATATATATATACATATATGTTATATATATATATATATATATATATATATATATATATATATATATATATATATATATATATATATATATATATATATATATATATATATATATGAATATGTATGTATGTATGTATGTATATATATGTGTGTGTGTGTGTCTGTGTTTGTGCATAGGTAGCGATTCTTTACAGTTTTTGGCATTAGACAAAAATCTTTTAATTTTCTTTAACTTTACTTGTTTATATATTTTTTTAAGGTTAAGTATGAAGCTTGAGATTTTTTGCATTATTCAGTTTAAATCTACCTCTTTTCAACCATATATAGGAAGTACTATTTACTAATTTATATACTATTTATATTGCTTCACTTATATGTTTTACTTTTCAAAGTTTCAAAAAAAAGTTATACTCCAACTTGCTGAAATGAACAACGTTTTAGTAGATAGAACTGCACAGTTCTCTAATGATCGAGAAGATTTTAAACAATGCAAAAGTTTAGATGAAATTAATGTTTTGAAAAAAAAATCGCAAATGGAGATATCCAATACATCACTTTTGTATAGATGAGTTTTATCTTTATAGTTTATATGTTATATATTATTACAATAACATTTTTAAATTGTCATGAACATTTTCAATGTTTCTTAAGCATTGTTTCTTTTTAGATAAAACAGTTATCATTAATTTGTGGTAAAAACCCAGCTGATACAATTAAAAATATTTTGCTCTTGTAAGTAATTAGCAAAAGTTTGAATTTTAACATTTATGATTGACAGTACAGCATTTATCATCTTTTTTATATATGTAGACTGCCAACAGACACTATTTTGTCAGAATACAGCATTAATGGTCTAAAGAAGAAAAAAAAGTTTGAAGAGTTGACAAGTTTATGTAACGCTGTCACTGGTATTCTTATTAGCTCATTAATGTGTTTGATTAATTTTTAAAATTAAAAATGATATTTTAATAAAATAATTTTTTTTTTAATATTTTTGGCTATGGAACATGACATGTATTCAAGTATATTTTATTTTATGATCTTATGAAATATGTGTTGTTGGTTTTATTAGAAGCTGCTTTAAAGTCAAATAAAAACTTAACCAAAATGGATACCATCCAACTTATTGGGAGAGTAATTAGGCATTCTTCTGAACATCTACTAATATGGATATCGATCAATGATGACTTAATTAGCTGTTGTATTTTTTAGTTATTTTCCATTTTTCCGCAATTTTTTTCTATTTATAATGATTGATTATATTCTACAGTACTTATTAGTTTTTAATTTGGAAAGTGTAACTTTGTTTGAAAAATTATTCTTATTTTTTGTAAAGTTATTAATTTATTTTAAATATATCAAATTACACTTTATTTACTTTGATTTCTTTTTATAACTTTCCTTGCCTAGATTAAGGCAAATCTAAGGTGTGTGTTGTAAATCATTGCATTTTTATATAACTTTTAAAAGAATGTCTTGGTAAAATGTTTTTTTTTTTAAAAGAATGTCTTGGTAAAGATGTCTCTAGGACGTCTGAATAAGACGTCTTGAAGTCTTTCATATAAGACCAGATAGAGACGTCTTTAGAACGTCTGCGGAAAACGTCTCTAGGACGTCTTTAAAAGACGTCTTTAAAACGTTTGAAATAGACGTCTCCAAGTCTTTCATTTGAGACCAACTAAGGACGTTTTATGGATGAGACTTAAGACGTCTTTTGGACGTCCTTAGGACGTCAAAATGCCCGCTGGGTTCATCTTTAAACAGCAGTTTCTTTAACAACATTACAAATATGTTCATCTTTAAACAGCAGTTTGCGTTGTTCTGGATCATGATCAGAAGAATTGAAGTTTTTTTTTCTTGACTTTTTTGGGCACCGATACATTTGCTTTTAGCCTTACATGATGATGTGTCAAATTTTTTAGCTGCTGTCTCATGTTCATTAGACACTGACGAACTTGTTTGCTAGGGAGTTCTTAACAAAGACTTTATAGCAACCTGCATATTTAGCAATGCCATTGTACATTATGCAGGTTATTATAAACGTTAATTTTTTAATCAGAACCGAATGGTATAAACTTTCTTTTCGAATTTCATTAATTTTTCTATATTCACAAATTGTTGTGAATTTTTTGAACGCGTTTCAATTAAGTTTAGATTGAGTTTTCCCATGTCGACTAAATATTTATAGATGCTATTTGTAGATGTACCAATGGTTATTTACTCAATATAAACGTGATGGCGTCATTGGGGTAGCTGTTTTTATATTCTTTTTTGGTAAAACGTCCGACATATTATTATATTAGATAATAAATTAAGAAACAAACAGAGCTATATCTATATTAATTTTTGAAGAAATCAGGTTACGTAATAATACTTACATAACAACTTTATTTGCTATTTTAATTAATGTTAAAAGCATTTTCAGTTTGTTAAAGATTGTTCTTTTTTTAAGTTTTTACTTTATTTGTTGTATTACACTTTGTCTTAAACTTACTTAGGCCAAATTTAAAAGTTAGTTTAAGACTTTGTCTTAAACTTACTTTTAAATTGATTTTCAAAAATTGATGAAAAGCTGCACTACTAATAATTACACATTAACAGAAATCATTATTTCTTTTGATATGATTTTTAAATGATAAGGTTGATTATGATCTTTGCATAAAAAGTTACCTTATTTTATTATTAAAATATAATTACTTATTACATAATAAAAATAGTTCAGTTAGCCTCCACATTTGAATAAGCTATCTTAATTAAATCTTTATTATATTCTTTGTTTTATATTCTGTAAATATTATATAAATTTTTTTTTTGTATTTAGCAGATGCCATGCTTAATACATACCAAGAATGAACTAGAAATTTCGTTAAGATATCCTGAAAAGAGCACTGAATAGAAAAGGCGTCGGTGACCGTGAAAAACTAAACATTGATATATTTTAGATCTGTAATTTGATAAATTTTTAGTTTTGTGTATACTTTTAATTTTGTGTTTTATTTGTTTTAAATAATAAAGTATACTGGTTGCCGTTTCTAAAATGTTATCTGAGTGTTAAACTTTTATCCCCAAAACCCTGGAAATTCCGTTATACGAACGATCCTTCTAAGCGGTGCAACTGATCTCCTTAAAACGTTTTGCGGCTCCAAAGACGCTTTTTGGTTTAAAACCAGTTTTTTAAACAATATTGGCCGTCCATATCAACTTTATTCCAGTCTGGTGCAAATTAATCACCGTAGCGCGTTCATTTTTACAATCGATGGAATCTCACCAAACGCAATCAAACAAACAAACAAAAATTAAAATGAAACTTTTTAACAATATAATGGTTATCGTCAAGCTAAACCCTGATTTGTATTGGTTGCAATTCTTTTTAAAAACAAAATGAATGACTTTGTACTATTTTTTGCTCTCAGTCAAGCTAACGTTTTTCATAAAGCAGATATAAAAAATAAACAGGTGACATTTCTACTACTGAATTTACCTTACTGTTAAAGGTTTTAAGGGTAAATAAATAGATGAATACGTCACCTTAATCATGTTAATTTTTATAAATGGTCCATACCGTAGGGGCTGACCATAAAGGACGTCACGCATCTAGGGGAGGGAATCGGTCCAGTTGTTTTATAAAATAAAAATTTTATATAATAGAATGTTTTATATAGTATATTTTTTTATCATAATGAATACTATTATTATTGTTGTTGTTATTATTGTTGTTGTTATTATTTTTGTTGTTATTATTATTATAACTAGTTTTATACTATTATTTTTATATTATTACTGTTGTTGTTATTATTGTTATTATTATTGTTATTATTAACATCGTTATTTATGTTATTTTTGTAACATCGTTATTTTTATGTTATAAAGTTTATTATCGTTATTATATATTGTGAAAATTAGCATTATATTTATTTTAATTAGATATTATTAACTAGGTGTTTACTTTATATTAGTAAATTATCTATTAGTAAACATAAATTAATTGATAAATAGCCAACGTCTCATAAATAAATACTTTTCTTCTTTTATTATGAGTTATTAGAGATGTATATTTTGGTCTGATTTTTTTAACAAAATGTTTCTTTCGTTTTATTTTTTTTTTCTTGGATCTATAAACTATATACAAAAATCAATTTAAAAAATAGCCTTGACTAGCCAGTTATTTAAAACAATGAACGAAAAAATCAGTAATTTCTATGGCAAACTAGCAATCAATGTACTTGTTAAATCTAGCTGAAAAACGATGTGTATATTCATTCAAGTATATTAACGGATGAGAGAAAGATACTTTTATTTTCACAGTATATAAAAAGTTATGATATTTGAAAAAAGTATGGAAAAGTTCGTTGATAAATAACCAACGCTAGCCTCGTAAAAAATTACTTTCCTTCTTTATTATGAGTTATTAGTAATGCATATTTTGGTCTGATTTTTTTAACAAAAGATTTCTTTCGTTTAGTTTTTTTTTTTTACAAAAAAAAATCAGATTAAATGCTTAAACGAGTCCAAATTTAAAATTTTTGAAGATTTTAAGCAAGGCAAAATTTTATTCTCAGAAAATAACAAATATATGAAATGAAAGAACAAAACAACAATAAAAAGTTCAAAAATTTATCAAAATCCTCCAAGAATATAATTTGAGTTATATTCTTCATCATCTTTCCTTTTCTTAGTGACACTGTCAGTCAACTTTTGAAGAGACTGTTTTGTAGTTTCTTTTTTTCTTTTCATTGAGCTTCATGGATGTAACATATTCTGTTAGTTAAAATTTAGTTAGTATAGAAAAGATTCCATGCGAACCTTTGTTAAGTTCAATACGAGCTAAATTAACTTCAGATTCTAAGACTACCAACAAAAGTAAATTTTGTGTAGTAGCAGCAGCAGCTTTAACTTCAGTAAGTAAAAAATTCTTTTGATGATTAATGCGTATGAAATAGCTCTAGTTTTCTTGCATTAAGCATCTAAATAGAGCAGAGTGGTTTGAAAATTTTTTGAAAATAGATTTGCCTAGGTTACTTATTGTTGTCCTTTATTAGAAAAATTATCTTGAAAAAAGATGAGTGCTTAAGGTTTCTCTAGAATTCCAGTTTTTTGACAAGTCTTAATTTAAGTGAAATTTTTTTAATATATTTTTTCTCCCTGGAACTAAAAGAAGTGGAATAAAATGAATGATTGGAATAATTTCATTTAAATTACTTCATAAAATAATTAATAATTAGTTTTAATCTATAAGAGTTTTTATAGATTAGTAAAAAAATATAATTTAAACTTTATTTTTTTTACAAATCTATAAAAGTTGGTTTCAAAATGTTAAAGACTGCAATAGAAAGATTTATGTGCTCTACATATGTATTTACACCATGAAATTTGTCCGAATGAAATTTGTACCAAGTCTGTCAAATTTGTCAGTGTCTTTTATGCGCATAAGGCGACGTCATTTCTTGTCGTCATAATCAGTACATTGTAATAAATCCGCCCAAATAGCTTTTTTCATAGTATACAAATTGTCAAGATTGTTTTTATGGCTAAGCCATAGAAGTACTGCATAAAATTGACTACAAATTTGGTTAACTTTTCTCTGTGATGGAGTCTTGTTTTTGTTCTCTTGTAAGTCTTGAAAACCTTACAAAGTCTATTGTCTATTTTCTTATGTGCATGCGCAATAAACTCAAGTTTTGTGATACTGAGACTTAAGTTTTTTGTCACTATCAATTTCATCTTTAAAAGAGGAAGTGTCACTATCAAATAAATCTTTAAATGAGAAGATGTCACTATCCATAACATCTTTATGTGAAGAGGTGTCACTATTTCCTAAATATTTATTATAAATCAATTTTTTTTTTCAATTGAGAGACTGAATAATTTGACTGCCATAGCAGATTCTTCAGCACCTAAAGAACTAACATGGCATGGATGATTTTTCAACCATTCTAAACATTTCGGATATGATTTGTCAACCATTCTAAACATTTCATTATTATCAAATGTCAGCAAACTTTTAGAAAAGCTTATGAATTCTCGTATTTACAACTTTTTGAACAATTCTGCTTGTTTTCATACTTGACAGTTTGGGTTTTGTTAAAATCACTCTACTCCTCAT